CTCAATAGTTTCTTAATTCATAAGCGAGTTCGTTCTTAACACTTTCTCAGTAGAATTGCAATCAGCTTCTTCCTCTTTACTAGCGGAGACACTGCTTACACGATAATAGCCGAGTTAACAATGGCGGTAACACTTTTCTTCTTTTCGATGTTTGACGCCAATACCAAGTACATCCATGCTCTCTTTCCCTGTATTGACTTTTTGAGCGTCTTAAAACTGCATTTTCTCACAACAAATTTCAGTTGTTCGTTGGGCTGCGAACCCGTCTCTTGTTTTTCTTTTTGTTTTGTTGGAGAACACTTACGAAAAATTCCAAAACGTTTTTCACATGCCGTCTGCAGGCAAAATTCCTGGCCATAAATAACCTACACCACCGTTCTCCTGCATCCACTTATATACACAGTGTCTATGTCTCCGGCGCACCTACAACTCTTTGCATTGCCTGAGCGAAAGTAAAAGACTTGTAAAACGGTAAAGCAGTTACTTGGCTTTTTGGTCTGTCGATGAAATGGACATTTCTGGCGCCACGCAAGTGCGATTTGTGAAGATGGCTCTGCACATATGGAGTTAACTTACGTCTCGTACGGAGTCTCCCTGCCAGTTTATCTGCCGTCTAAGTGAATTTAATGGCGTTTAAAGTTGCATAAAGTTGCAGGGCAGGTGTGCCCCTGTGCTCCGGTGCATCAGCGTGTGAATACAAATTTGCGCTCGTAATTTAGCAATGAGCTGTAGTGCATGAAGAAAGTGCGAAATAGAGAGAGATTTTGCGGGTGAAGGAGTAAGCTGGCGTTAGCGTGCAGTGCTCGTAGAATCACGGCAAATAAACATATCACAGCTGATGAAAAGCAGTGCTCAGTTTAAATGAAGCGTTTCAGTGTGATGAGTTGCTCGGCAATAAAAATGAAATTCGCGAGTGAATTTGTGTCAGTGATTTAAATCGTTTAGCTCATGAGGAGCGGAGTAATGGAGATGATCTGAAATGAACTCTGGGTTGTAAACTAAGTATGTTAGTTGGAGGAAAAAATGTTTGATACAAAAATGCAGAATAAACCGATGACAATAAACCACAGAGGTCGAGTGGAGTAAACACACGAATTTCAACCAAAGTGTAAAGACAAAATGGAAGCAGACAGACGGAACCTTGGTTCCCGTAGAAGAAAAATCAGATACAACGTACATAGAGAAGGATATCTTAAAAAAACTTTGGGGTGACAGTAGATATCAGAAATCGAAAAAATGGTCAAAAATCGGCAGTGGAATACCGTGAATAAGAAAATTGAAGGCGAAAATCGACAACGGAGAAGATAATATCGGAGGAAGGAGACTGCGTCTAAAAAATTGGATGGTATAAGGCCATCAAAATAGAAAGGGATATATATGAGAAATACATGTAGGACGCCGGATGTTGAAATATGAAATATGGTCCCGAAATTTCAAAACCTAACAATGTTTGTAGCTTTTAATTCTTCTGTGTGTCGTCTTATAAGACAGTGGCTCTTTTATCCAAAGCAAAGTTTGCTTAAATTGTCGTAAAGTCTTTGTTTTGTACCGACATGGTTGTATGAATTCTTTGAGAAACAGCTCGCATGTGACGCGCTTTACCCAAAATAAACTATATATTTGGCCTGCGGCTTACCCATGATCACAGGCACACGTATTGGTCGCAGCCCGGCACAATTTCAGAGAATATCCATCGTAAGGAAGACCAGTGCATTTATTGTTGTCTGAATTTTAATAGCAGAGTTTAGAGAATTTTAGACTTCTTTAGTTAATCCTACCTCTGGACAACTATTTGTGGAGTATAGAAGTCAGAAGTCCCAAAAACCTTATTGTCGAACTAAAGAGCGGCGGGAATTTTTGTTCCTTCAGTTTTAATTTCTTGGCCACACCCTGTGCTCATACAACTTTCCTCAGCTAAAATCATGATTGCTCTTAAAGAGGATTAAGAGTATCAACCACCAATATAATAGATACAGTTATTTTGACGCTCGTTAATGAACTGAAGAATCGCTGCACTCACATGGCCAAGCCTCTCGGAGGCTATCTCTTGAATGACACAAACCACACTAAATAGTTTTGCACAGTAAACAAGCAAAGTAATGATTGCCAATCACACACATGTATGTATGTTTGTCTGTCTGTCTGGCTGTCGGTCTGAGCAGCTGTTTCGGCTGTTGATGACCTCAAAGAGCACAAACTAACAGCAGCAGGGCCAATTGGAGCGTGCTACTCTCCATAAGTAGCGGAGTCTACAGCCAGCACAGCTGAGTATTTACAAAAAATTCGCATGCCACAAGAGAGCGCCACCAGCGAGTGTTGTGTGTTGTGTGTTGAGCATAAGGTGGCGAAAGGTTGTGTGTTCGCTTTATTGTTGCCACTCACTGCTGATGATGCCACAACATACCTATTACACTCGTATGCAAGTACACGACAGGCATGGCTCGCTGTTATACCTCTGTTGATGTGTTTGTTTGGGTGTTTGTGGCATTACGTGCATTTAATGTATTCCATAGCTTCTCGCTGTTGCTTCAGCTTAGTCAACTACATAGCAGCCGTTGCGCTGAAACTCGTTGGGGAAGAGCAGTTTTTCTGCTGTCACCTATCTGTGAAGTTGTGTTTTCGTTGTTTTGCTCGTGCCGTGTCGACCGCTGTCAGTTGTTTTTGTTGTTCTAGCTCAAGCGATTGGGTTTGGCTTTTCTACGTTTTCGGTGCGTGTAACTTCGATAATTCTTTATCGCTGCGGTTTATTGGGAAAAACAAGAAGAATTATAAATAAATTCCTACTAGAATTTCATTACAATTAAATGGAGTGGCTTACAAGTGAAACGCTTGCGAAAGGAAGAGCGAGTGCGTGATGGATAAATTGTAAGAAATTACGAAAAACATTGCGAGTAACAGCAGTGAGAAAAATCTAAATAACAACAACAATGCAAATTTAAAAAAGTAAGTGTCTGTGAGGGAGTCTTATACGAGTATGTAAATACATACATATGTATGTACGTACGTATATAAATTTCAAATATGCTTGACGTCAATGCACTCCGCGTTCATTGTGGCAAGTGTGGCAAACATAAATAAATTTACATAAAAAATTTGCACCATACATTAGTACAGCCGAATCCATGTGCATATGCGCATATGTATACGAGTGTGTATGCATGCATATGTGAATGTAAATATGTATGTGCCTTTGGCAGCCAAAAGCCTATGCCAACAGCCCAACTGCAAGGCTATACATAACGATGAATGCAGAAAGGCATGCGAAAAACATCTGCGAGTGTCAAAAAATCGCAAACATACATATATACATACATACATACATACATATGTATGTACGTACATAAAGGTGTACCCACTAATATATTCAAAGGAAAAAAAATAAAAATTAAAATTTGATTAGACGTCTGCGTGCTTTTGAGTATCACTTTTATTACAAAAAATTCTTAAAAAATTATTACGTATTTTATACGGTTTAACGCCTCGTGAAATCTATATATAAATACACATAATGAAATGTCAAAGTGAAAAAGCAACCAACTCCCAAAAACTTACTTTTGACGTTTTTCGCCAAACATCGTAAAAGAAAAACCTAAAAAAGAAACAATAACAGCAACAACAACATTACTTATAAGAAATATGTAATAAAATCTAACATTTGGCCACCTGCTAGCAATGCCCAAAACATATTGCCGCTGTTCGGCCACCCACAAAAGAGTGCAGCCAAGTAACAGAGCAGAGAGCAGAGAGCTAGCGAAGAACAGTGAGTGAGTGAGTACACGTGCTGGCATTCTTGCAGCTAGAGAGAGCTATGTATGCTTTTGTGTATATATTATAAACAAATTACAGAGTGGAAGAAAGTAGTGACTAAAAATTTAAGCAAAAAGTATTAAGAAAAAAATAAAATAAATATTAATTTTCATATCGGAAAAATTTGTTGGGGTAGTATTAGTAGTCCGATCTCGATGATTTTCAGTGAAAACGTTTATTTGTAGATTCAAACGTTGAATATGAAATTGTATAAACTTAGATGCTTTTGTGACGGTGTTTGGCCCAAAACCTTATATCTGTACAAATCGGTTGTAAACATATTGGTATTCGTAGAGTTTAAGCTGCCAGAGTTATTAGGGAGGCGACAGAAAATCTCATTACTGTACCTGCCTCGCTCTTTAACCTTTTAGTATAGAAATGGATATCTTCACTATTACCCGTAGGCCTGCTTTCCGCCCAATCTTCTCTACTGCGGAATGAGTACTCGTGTGCTACCATGTCTTTCAAAATTCTGAAGTGAACTGGATTGTACAGTACTTCTTCTGTAATATCGTTCACCATACTCAGGATCCATGCCAGAATGGATCTTTCGTTGCCGAGTGGTTAGCATTGCGTACTGCCATTCGGAAAGGCTCAGGTTCAAATCCCCGTGCGATCAACATCCAAATGTTATAGAAAATAAATTTAAATAAAGAACTAAGCTAAATTTTGTACAAACTGTAGAAGCCTCCATTTGTTGGAAAACATATCAAGACCCAAAACCACAAATTGGAGAAGGAGCTGGTAGACTCAGAATTTTTGTTGTTGTTGTTGTAACCAAAATTATTCCCCAAAGTACTTTTTGGGGAATTTTGCGGGAGTGACAGTCCTTGGCCGGATAAAAAACCGGGTCCTTCCGGTATAAAGACCCGTCTGTTGCGGGAACTATTGGATTTTAGTCGCCTCTTACGACAGGCATGCCTTACCTCGGGTAAATTCTTGAGCCCCTAACCCGCAGGGGGTCTCAGAATTTTTGTATTTCTCGTCTATTGACAGGCCTAAGATTTTTTCAAGGTTGACCGAGAGTTCTGACCTGGAATATTGAGTTTTTTAAGGAAGTGTTTTATCAAATTGGCCATGGATGCGAGACAGTCACTCAACCTCAAGTCTATAATTGTTTCTCTTTTATTTATGGGAAAGACATTAATACAAGAAAAAAAAGAATAAATTTTATATTCTCTAAAGAATCCAGCCTGGTACGTGATGCTAGTTTTAAAGGGTTAATAAAATTCCTCACGGCATCAATGGTTAAGTTAAAGGAACCCACATTTGAAACCCCGGGTAGCTTCTTACTATTAATAAATTGAAAAGAGACAAGCGATCTAATATAAAACTGGGTCAATATTTGACGTTATAATCATTGGAGGTTTCTACAGAAGCGCACTTCAGACGAATGTATGTACTCGTACATAGCTATGCAAGTCTCATTATAAGATCATGGAATTTCAGTGAAAAAATGCTATACTAGCAGAAATGTTAAGCACATGAGTGACTATAAATACATGAGAAGTGATTAAGCAAGTAAGACAAAGCAATGAACAATACGCGTCCAGAGCTTGATTGCAAAGTGCAGTTATTTGCATCGACATTATCAATGCAGCGCAGCGTCGAGCGGTCAAAGCCTCTTTCCAGCCTATGAAGACCACAAGAAAAGCATCCAGAGGCCGCGGCGTAGACCAACCAACATGCTGAGCTCAAGAGTTACTCATCAGCAACCACATTGCCGCTGATTATCGCCAACTAACCGGCTATTATACTGTTGTTGTGGTTATTTATATTTAAAAAAACAAAACCAAATAAAAAAAAAAATACCAGAAAGTGCGTCGAAATGTTTATTATCTCTGCAATTGTTTATATTAAGAGCGAATAAAAGACCACAAAAAAAGAACGCAAAATGATAAGTGAAATAAGTGAAATTCGCAGCAAACCGTTGCATTGCATTCACTTCACTCGGTGTTTGCTCCAATGTATTGGCGCTCTCTCTCTCTCGCTCTCTTTTTCTCGCTCGTTCGATTTTACTCGCTATTGTTCTCAAATACGCTTTTTAAACGCTCATTCGTCAACAAGCTGTAACAATACACTTCATATATTATATTTATTCTCTCTTCTTCCCAACCGTCCAACTTCATGCTCGCCGCAGCGTGCTGCCGTTGCATTTCAATGAGACCAAAAACACCAACAGCGAGGGCGACGCCATTCAGTCTGCACGTTTTCGTCGTTATCAGCCGGGATTAAGGTTTAAGGATTAAAGGTGCTTCAACTGCCATAAGGAGGAACAAGTGGAAGAAGAAGCAGAAAAAGTCAAAAGTAACAACAAACAGCATCTCAACAGTCTTAGAGACGCACAATAGCATATGTTACATATGTATGTATGTACATACATACATACATTTGGAGGATTTTCGCCTAAGTCAGTCAGCTGTCAAGTGGCAACAAGCATCAGCCTGCTAGTCTTCAAACCCGAGTTTCTGCTTTCCACTTCAGCTATGCGTTCACCGCAAATATTATACAACATATATGTACTTCTAAGTGGATAATTTACTTTTCCCCCATAAATATATATGTATGTATGTATGTATGCACATATGCATATGAGTACGTCCACAAACGGAAGTCACTAGTTCGTGCCTGTGCCTTGGCGTGTGCGTGTAGTGGTTGCTCTATAGCTGAGCCGGCGTCTATTTGCATTGCATGCAAATCTCAACGTTTCCGGTTTTTGCCGTGCGTTGCAGTATTTCATAAATAACGCGCGTTGAGCTGAACACCGAAGAAGGGGTGAACGTTTGCGAGCGGCATTTTAAAGTGAACGGTGAGTGAAGATATGTTCTTCGTAATAAAATCTTTAAATCTCAGAAATATTTAAAATTATGTTAAAAGTAGTACGAAAAGCCAACGGGCAACGAAGTTACCTTTTTTCTATTCTATTCAGCTATTGGGGCCGATTGTCAGCAATAACGCGCCGAATATTCTCCTAATTCATATAACTCCACAAAAAATAATCCCACGGTGCTAAATCGCGATCTTGAAGGTTACTCTACAGGTCCACGACACGAGATGTTGCGCTCACCGAAAAGTTTCCTTCAATAAATTGGTTGTTTCGTTGGCTCTATAGCAGGTAGCGCCATCTTGCTGAAACCAAAGGCCATCTTGATAGATTATGTAAGCCCGCCAATCAAGATCCTTTCTTCCTTTTATAATTTTTTCTTTAATACTGTTCTTATGCTGACTACAATAAATCGCCTTCAACACTTACTACGCCCTTCCTCAACGATTTTCTTCCATAGTCTGCTACCACCTTAAGCCCCATGCGTTTGTGCATCTCTAACAGATATTAATTTTTGTGACACACTTTTTTCGATAGCTATTTGTCATTAGAGGCTGTCTGCATCGCTTCTACTCATTATTTTTCACATTTGCAACAACAGTAACAACAGTAACAACAACAACACCCAAAGCATTCACTAATAAATTGCAAAAGAATAAAAAAAGGAAGAGAAAACTGTGTCACTTGCATTACAATCTCAATGAAAATAGCACAAACAATGGAATAATAGAAACAAATGATAGCAGAAATAGACAAGAGACTAGTGTGGCAAATGAATGGTGGGAAAAAAGTGTTCAAATAAATAAAAATAGTGGCAAAAGAAAAGTGTAAAGATGAGTGAAATAATAGGTAAGGCGAAAAAAATAAAATAAAAAGAAAAAATGTAATTTTCGCAAGAAGAAAAAATGTGAAGATGTGAGAAAAGGTTGAGATACAGAGAAAATGATGTATAAGGTAAAACAAAAAATTTCAAATAAAGTAAATAGTGGAATATGCGAAAGAATGCCAGAAATAAAAAGAAAAAATCACAAAAAGAAAGATTTGCCAGTAAAAAATTCAACATGAAGTAGCAGAAACCAAAAACTCACAAACTCACTATTTCAATATTTTTTTTCCACTATCTTCTGTCCTTCTGTCTAGCGAAGTCTCCTACAAGCGGCCGCTGCCTGTCGTCAGTAGTCCATTCAACGCTGTCACCGCCATTGATTTTTCTTACGGGAATTGACACTGTCTATGGCAACTTCATTCGACTTGTCGCTCGCTACTGCTGCCTGCCTGTTGTCACTTTATTACCTTGCCAGGCGATTGTCTGTCCTCAGTGGTCGCCTAGTTCACTACAACTCCGGCGCATGGCTTGTGGACTGTTTCCAACTTTCCAACTACAATACGTTATACATATATATACTTATATGTAGCTTTGTAGCTTTGTGAGTTACATTTTCTTCGCGTTTTTTACTCTCTTTTACCGTTACAACCGGAATTTATGCTAATGCTGACTGGCGTCTCATTGTTTTCTATTTTTTGCTTACGCTGCTTTGGCGCTTCGCTCAGGCATTGACTTGAGTTGAGAATGCGAATGTTGCCACTCTTTGTTGTTGTGTTGGCCTAGCCCTGCAGTTGGCTTTTGGTATCACCTTTTTTGCTTTTGGTTTGCAACTTTTTTTAGCATTTTTCTCCGCTTTGGGCCGCTTTGCTGAGGTAATTTGAATAATATTAGAAATAACAGTGTTGTCCACTAAACTGTTTTCCCCAGGTTTCGAAGAGTGTTAAGAATAGTTGTTAAAAGTATTTCCTGTGATATATTTATTCAGTTTTCTCAATAGGAATAGTTTTCCTTTGCAAAAAATTATATCATTCCGGGCCTCGGAAATTTTTCTTTATATAGACTTTTTACTCTACTGATTTGGACTGACGTGGAACTACTTGTAGCGCTAAGTGAATGACCTTCATTTCATACATTTTGTGACTCTTAAAATAGTAACAAAAACAATAACAAAAAATAGTACGTCTAGCCATTTCCTTATCTAAACTGAAATCAACCTTGAAAGCGCCCGCGGCGTCATTCCTTCTTTGGTGTTTCCTGTACTTTTGTATCCCAACTACATTTCTACACAGAAAGTCCGTTGCTGCTGTTGTTGTTATTGCAGTTATTTGCATTTGGAGTAAGAAGACGGCCTCAGCGCTTATCGCCACTTTCATATAAATACCGACATTGGGGAATTTGCCGACACTTCCGGTCTCGCCGCCGAACGATGTTTCGTTGTATATTTAGTTGTTGTTTTTATTGCTTTTTCGCTTAAAATGTCTTTGGTTTATCAGTTTGGCTTTCGCTATGTTCTTAGAAAACGCCATGCCGCTCATCTCCCGTCCGGTCTGACCCTTGTTTCTGCTCCTTCTTCTTGTTTTTCATTTCTTCCACAATTTCTTTTTCGCTTGCCGCACCACACAACCAATGTCAACACCCATTTTAACTGTTTTCCATTATTGCCATTATTTGCAAGACATTGCGTTCTCAAGGGCTCTTCTTCCTCATCACTCCCCCACTTTCTCTTCTTTGATAGGGAGTTCTAGCTTCACTGCTTCGGCGGCTAACACCCATGGACTTTGGTAATCTCTTTAGTGCATTGGTTGCTGTTTGTATGTGAGTTTTTTGCCTTGCTGCACCCACATTCCATTCGGCGGCGTGTTGATTTTGTTTCACATTGTATTTCATAGTTGTTTTTGTTGGGCATGGTTTTGCAGCCGTTGTGAAAATATATTGCAATTGCATGTGGCAGGCAATAAACTTGGCCGCAATGTGAAAAACCAAAATAAACACCCACTCACAGGCGCACACACGCCCGTAAACACTGAAGCGTACATAGAAATTTGTGTTCAAAGTTACAGTGACGGCCACAGAAATGGCACTGCTAAGTTCGAATTGATGGTATGATTGTGTGGGCTGCTACTGCGACATGGGTTATGGGCTATTCTCTTGCAATGAGAAAGTTCATCTTCAACTGAACTGTAATAGGATCTCTGTGTCTGGTCTATTTGCAGTTCCTGATGAAGATATTTAAAAATAAGGCTGAGTGTTGGTTTTCGAAACCCGTTATTAAACTTTATCGTCTACATATGATCAAGCTTTTATGGTTGACCGCTCGCCAGTCTTAATCACCCTTATAGAGTTTCATCACAGAACTTGAGTACGCTACGACTCCAAAGAAGTCTAGGACATAAGTCTCTATTTAGAACACCATTCAACTCTGGAAAAAATCTACCTAATCTACAATATTCTCAACTATCTTTCCTTCTAACTTCTTCCACAACCGCATTTACTTAGTAAATATCAGCAGACAGTTGCTCATTGCAGCATAACGAATTTGAGTATTTAAATAAAAAAAGCTAAAATAGTTGTGAATACTTTTTCACAGACCCATGTTAGCCCAAGTAACTTCAGTCCGCGTCCTCCCTTCACAGTCTTGCCGTAAACTTCCTCAAATTGTGGAAATGTTTAGTTCGTTTTTTGTTTGGCATATGTTTTTGTCATGACATAAATTTAAATTTGCTCTTGACAGGATGTTGTTGCACATATTTATATGTACGTGTATGTATATATAGAATTATGTAAATAGTCCAACATATTCGCATACCAACAACAAAATATAGAAACAAGTCGGCATTTAAATGTTATGCCACTTTTCTCGCATTTAGTTTTGTCTATTGAATTTACTGTTATCGTATGTTATTCCTTGCCGTAGTTTGCATACAAATGGCGTGTCTAACCAATAAATAAAGATAATATTAAATTTTTTTTGTGTCTTCGTAGGCAGTACTTTCAATTGAATTTGTGATTTTATGCTTATTTTATGGATTTTGTTTTACTTTGGCTGTAGCGGATCACGGCACGGATTTTTCGGCGAAACTGATCAGCATTGAAGGAAAGGAGTAGACTACGATAGACCTTTTCGATCATTTTCTGTTATATAGAAACTCGAAAGCCGGATTTTAGATCCATTGTTCATATGTATGTACGACGGCTGCTCTGAGTTCCAACTTTCATCACGAATGCCGGTCCACCACCCATTGAAATCTACTATTTATCTCTATCAAAGCCAACTTTTCATATATGACGAAGGTTTCTAGTCTAGAGGCGGCGGACAAAGCTTTTAGACAGTTGTGTATATTCTCTTTTAGGGCGTCAACCGTCTTGAGCGTATATGCGGAGATAAGCGACTTCATATAACCCCATAAAAACTAATTCAATGGCATTAAATCGATCAACTTACGCTTATTTGCATATATATGTAACAATAGGGTACCGTTATGTAGCTTGTCCACTATCTTCAAACACAACATTACCATTTTCTCTGCTTTCCCTTTATCACGTGCTTACATTGGCCTAACGCCTCCAACTGCTGTGAGCAAACCAAAGCTAGCCAATTTACCGTTACAACCGTTATAGGCGGTCATTTAATCAATTATGCAAAAAATGATTCACAATAAAAATGAACACCTTTAAAACGCCACCGTCAACATCGCTTGATGGGACCACACGAATACTCGCCACATACTAAGTGCCGGCAATAAAAAGGGGACGGTGCTAAGAGAGGAGAGGGAGGGCGTCATGTAACCATTTTATGCTGCTGAACTCATCATCACCTCATATACAAAATAACGGTACAGCAGACGACTTTGAGACGTTTGCTTGGCGTACAAACGACGACTTTACACTCGTTCCTGCGGTCGCTGTGCTTGTTGTGCTGAGTCGTGGGTTGTTGTTGTGTCGTAAATTGTAGCGTCGCATGTCGTGTGTGTGCCGTGTTTATGCGCCGTTATTGCGGTTGTGTTATTGCTGTCGTTGTTTTGTGTACGACTCTTTTTCTTGCCTTCTGTGAGCTCTTTCCTTAAAGACACTGATGCTGATTTTCTTTCTGTTGTTGTTGCTGTTCTCTTTTTATGCTTGCCGCACGTATCGGCAACTTGCATTAATAATTAATTAAATG